ATTTACCTTGCTGGCACCTTGATCTTGGACTTTCTGGCCTCCAGAACTGTGAGAAATAAATTTCTGTTAAGCCACCCAGTCTGTGCTATTTTGTGATGGCAGCCCAAGCAGATTAATAAAAATACTAACCATAAAAGAGAAGATTTCGTTCAACATTAGTTAATAAATCAATTTTATGTACTTTATCTCAAAAAGCATATACTACAAAAACATTTTTAAACTTTTGATTTTCCTAGGACCATAATTTTAAACTATATTAAATGCATGCAGAAAATGTAGTAAGCATAATCGATTTGGAAGAAAAAGATAGTAGGTTTTGCAATCTACAGCAGTTCATATAGGATCCATCTGTTTGTTGCTCTGATCTGAATAATGAGGGAGACAGTCGATCTCTCTCTGTATTTCTGAGGTTGTTAGCTGTATGTTTGCTGTGTGTTTTAGAAGGAAGTATGCATGATACGATCTAGTGCCGTCACTAAGAGAATGTGAGAATTGAAGGAAAAAGACCCAAATCATCCCTTTCTCTCCAGGGACCATAGAGCGTTCTAATCAAATTCCCACAGGATGGAGAATCTCAAACCTTTAACCACTTTTTTATGTCCGGAGAGGGTATTAAAAAAAAAAAAAAGTGACTCCTTAGAGTGAGAAGTTAACTGATCTATTACACTGCCTGTGAGGCTGTGATCTTGTCATCCATAGGAGGTACAAGACCAGTTTCCTGGAGGTATTTGTGGACTTTGATTCCAGATCTGAATTACAACTGTGGCTCCTTGGTGGGCTTATAGTTCTGATTAAATTGGATTTATTTTCAAATAGGACACTCCATACAGGGTCTTGGCTGCACAACCGATTTGTGTGATGATATCGCAAATTTTAGAAAGATACAGATCCCTATGAACCTTTGAAAATAAGTACATTGCCATTATAATTAAAAATTTAGTAAAAGTGTTTCTAAGTGTGAGAAGCAATCTTACAGATTTCTTGTAGAAAAAAAAATGCCACTCAAAGAATATTTCATTTCAGTTTGCAAAAGCATAGTCTAAAAAACTGATGGTTAGAGATAGAAGAATGCTAAGAAGCTTTTTTATATATTCACCAAAAATATCAACAATATTCCCAACAAAACACACATAACCGCACAAATAGATTCCCCCTTCAGTTCATTCAGCTCTATGTAATTAATTATCGTTCCTCTTGATCTTACATCAGCAGTTTGCTTTCATGAAGTTGTCTGCTTCTGGAATAAAAAGAACTCCAGATTCAGCCCTGCAATGAAATCCTCATAGTCGTCTAAGCCATGTCACCTTGAGCTCCAAAGCTAGTACTAATGAGTCTATTTCCTTAAGTATAAATAGTTAAGAACACCTGCTACACTTCTTTCCAGGCAACATTGACATTGTTTTTCTTTGTGGAAGACCAAATTCTGGCCTGTAGCAGAAGCTTCAGATAAGCATGAAAGGAAAGCAGAAACTGCCTGTTGATGATTTAACTGAGAGGCTGTGGTTAATTTATTACAGTAACCGACAATATCAGGATGGAGAAGGGTAATATTCTCTACTGAGATACGTGCATAACTGTGTCATTACGATTTGATCGATGTTTCCCCTGAGGGCTGAGGAAGGGTAAGATGATCAAGCTTTCTTTTTTTAATAAAGAGGAGAGAGGCACGTGCCTCCCCACGTCTCCTGCCTTGTTTGTCTCCTGAAGCATTATTGGCTTGACGAAAAGCCCAACCTTTTGATTTGACAATGCAAGGTCTTAGGTCTTCTGATCCTTGGAACTGCAAAACATTTACCTCCAGAATTAGCTCAGGGGTCTCTCTCAAGGTACATAGGAGGTAATCACAGGTGCACATTTTATCTCCCAAGAAGATCTGAGAAATTTTAGTTGTTATTTTTCCACTTAAGGGTATACATACACGTGAAATTCTGTCCAGACTTTGTAGACACTTTCAGTCCACTTTTACATGCAGGTAAATCTGATATGCGTATTCACTAGTAAATTTTGTTTTCTCTTTCTCTTCAGTATTGATATGGAGGGTCTTTTGTTGGTTCCCTAACAGTCTTCAGAAATTGTGATGTTCTCTATGTGATATGAGATATGAGATGTTACCCTCCTTACAAGCTAACAAGTAAGCCTGTCACGGTTTCATGGATGCTGGCAGAACACACAAAACTCCTGGGTCAGAGACAAGGAACTTGTAATTACTCACAGCAAAGCAAGCAGCGTGATCTTCACATTCGCATCAGCTGTCCTTGCCTACTACTTTCTAGAGGGACCAGTGTAAAGGAGCCAAGTGGATGCTAGGCATACAGTGAATTTGCACCATAGCTGGAGTTTGGGAAACCCAAATCTTTTATAATAGGCTACAAGAAATGAAATAAAATTTGTTTCAGAGGGCAACATTATCTTTTATCATACCGGCTTGAAAACAAAGCTGTCCCCTGCTCTGGAGAGAAGCACAATCTTCTAGATCTGTTTGCTATACAAATATCCTTGGAAAGATAATCCAGAACAAAGGTAACCAATGCCTTTGCTTGTAAGATATATAGAAATGCAAGAAATTCACGGAGAATTGTCTTCCAATAATGAAGAGAAAATATTCTTCACAGTGAGGGCATTGTAAACTTCCAGGGCCTGCCTGCAGGGTGTATGGTCTCTAAAACACATCTATATTAATAAATATAAAACATACTTATATATTTTATTATATATACATATTAAAAAATTACCCACACAAAATTAACTGTCTGATAACTGAAGTTTCAGTATTGTAACTTATAAATTATCCAGGACCACAGATTGTATAAAGGGACTTCTCAATAGACAAATTTTAAAAAGATTTTATGGAAATATTAGCTTTTCTGATTATTAAACCACTATAATAAGATGCTCAGGAAACTCAGATTAACTAGTTCCTTCAAGGGAAAACAAATCCAAACATTATAAAAATACTTTTTTAAATTTTTAAAGTTTTACTCCATACTGACAGAGCCAGGAAAATTCTGGAGATTTTTTTAATCCAAAACGATCAGACCAGTCTGATTTGTTCAAGATTCACCTTGTTTACATTAACTTGGTTTCTTATAGAAAAAAATGCCTCTGACCTAGCAGTTTTGGTAAACCAGTTTTTCAGTTTGGTAAAAAAAAAAGATTTTCCTTTCTTTTCTCTTAGAAAGATAGCGTCTTTTAAAACATCAGAAGTTTTGTGTATTTATTTTCTGGAAATATTAATTATGTCCATAATTATGTTTCTATATCAAAACAGATCTCATTTATTTTTAGAGACTCTGTATTTAATACAGTAATACCCTCTGGAGTAGGAGAATATTTCATACTCACATAATGAGAAATAAGGCCTTTTCTCAATTATAGAGACAGATGCAGACACAGACTTTGCAGCATCAGCCTACGACTCTGGCCACAGGTCAAAATTCAACACAAAAACACACACACAAATCATTGGTTCAGATCCCAAAGTGCTGTTCTTCTTTCCAATGAGCACGAAATATTTTCTTAATCGATTTGAACTTACAAGAAGACAAATAGACTAACGAAAAAGACCAATAACTCAGATTATCATCTTCTCTTGCCTAACAGAGAATAAATCTATGTCTCTACCCATTAGAGATCATTAAATGATCAGACCATGAAAACAGACTTTTATTCTTTGCTGTCCTACACAAACCAGAAGCAGAACCAAACCTAGTCAAGAAATAGAAAGTAAAGCCATAAAATGAGAAATTAAGACAGTAGAGAAAGGAGCTAACAAAGTTAATTTCTATTGCTGCTTGGATGTGCTTTGCTTGAAATATGAGGTGCACTTCTTGGGCAACTCATTCTAATTGGTTTAGGAAGATGGGTCCACCTGGACATCCCAGTGAAACTGCCAAAGCTTCCATAGTGTAATTTTTTAAGAGTTCAAAATATGACTCTCATATAAAGTGAGCACATGTTTAACTAATTAACGATGAAACTTAGAAGGGACTGGGGTTCAAAAATATATAGAAGAGATAAGAGTATGCATGGTGACTAAATGAAAGAAGGATGGACTAAGATTGTGAAATTACATGCAAAACTGGTGTGATGGATAGTTTATTTGTCAATTTGTCTGGGCCAAGGGATGCCTAGATCTTTGGTTGAACATTATTTCTGCATACTTCTGTGAGGACATGTGTGTCTGCTGCCACCTCAGCAGAGGGAGATTTTAATAATCAAGTGGATAGGATGACTCATTCTGTGGATATCAGTCAATCCCTTTCCTTAGCCACCCCTGTCATTGCCCAATGTGCTCATGAACAAAATAGCCATGGTGGCAACGACAGAGGTTATCCATGAGCTCAGCAACACGGACTTCGATTCATTTATCATGGAAAGGGCAAGTGTTTTGTTCTTGCTGGAATGGACACTTACTCTGGATGCAGATTTTCTTTTCTTCATGCGACACTTCTGTCAAAACCACCATCCACAAACTTACAGAAAGCCTTATCCGTTCATCACGGTATTCCACACAGCATTGCTTCTGATCAAGGAACTTCCTTCACAGTGTGGCAGTGGACCTATGCTCATGGAATTCACTGGTCTTACCATGTTCCCCACCATCCTGAAGCAGCTGGCTTCACAGAACAGTGGTATGGCCTCTTGAAGACTCAATTACAGGGCTGGCTAGATTCAATACCTTTCAGGGCTGAGGCAAGGTTCTCAGAAGGTCCATATCCTCTAAATCAGTGCCCAATGTATGGCGCTGTTTCTCCCATAGCCAGGATTCATGAGTCCTCGAATCCAAGGGTGGAAATGAGAGTGATACACTATTACTCCTCGTGACCCACTAACAAAATTTTTCCTTCCTGTTTCTATGACCCTATGCTCTACTGGCCTGGAGGTCTTAGTTCCAAAGGGAGAAATGTCTCCACCAGTAAAACACAACAATGATTTTATTGAACTGGAAGTTAAGACTGCTGCCCAGCCTCTTTAGACTCCTCATGCCTCTGAATCCACAGGCAAAAAGGAAGTTACTGTGCTGTCTAGGGTGACGGATTCTGACTACCAAGGGAAAACCGGACTACTATTCCACAATGGAGGTAAGAAACAATATGTCTGGAATACAGGAGAACCCTCAGGATACCTCTTAGTATGACCATGCCCTGTGATTAAGGTCAATCGAAAACTACAATAACACAATTCAGGCAAGATTACTAATGGCCCAGACCCTTCAGGAATGAAGGTTTGGGTCACTCCACCAGGTAAGGAATCAGAACCAGCTGGGGTGCTTGCTGGAGGCAAAGGGAAACAAAATGGGTAGTGGAAGAACATAGTTATAAATATCAGCTATAACCATGTGACCAGTTACAGAAAGGAGGACTGTAATTGTCATGAGTATTCCTCTTGATTTTGTCATGAAAATGTTTGTATGTGTATATGTACATACATATATATATGTTTTATTCCCTCTCATTTCTTTATCATGTAATGTAAGATGTATTGACTTTGTATCTTAGCATTTAAGTGTTGTTAATTTTATATGACAGTGTTTAAGTTATGGGATGTCAAGGAGAATGGTAAACATCACTCAAGAACTTTATCTCCTCTTCTGGGGAAGGGTTGAATGTGTTTCTGGTTGTATCAGGGTAAATGGAATTATGACCTTGTTATTGTCTTTATTTGGAGATTAAGTATGGTTTAAAGAGATGTGTATGAGTGCCGAGTTGACAAGGGGTGGACTTGTGATGGTCAATTTTATGTGTCAACTTGACTGGGCCACTGGAGTGACTAGATATTTGGTTAAACATTATTTCTGGGTGTGTCTGTGCAGGTGTTTTGGATGAGATTAACACTGGAATTGGTAGGCTGAGCAGAGGAGGTTGCTCTCTCCAATGTGGGTGGACCTCATCCGATCAGGTGAAGGCCTGAATAGAATAAAAGGCTGAGTAAGAAGTGATTCTTTTTCTCTGCCTGACTTTGTCTTTGAGCTGGGACATTAGTCTTCTCCCACCTTTAAACTTGGCCTCAGACTGGCATTTACATCATTGGCTCTGCTGGCTCTCAGGCCCTCAGGCTTGAACTGTAACTATACCGTTGGCATCCTGGGTCTCCAGCTTGCTGGCTGCACATATTGAATTTCTCAGCCTCCAAAGTCATGTAAGCCAATTCTTAATAGTAAATCTCTCTCTCTCTCTGTATGTTTGTATATCTATCTATCAATCTATCTATCTATCTATCTCCATCCTATTGGTTCTCTTTCTCTGAAGAACCCAGACTAATACAACTGTTTAATGATGTACAAGTCAAAAATAAATAAATCGAAAGCTAAAACTTTGGGGTTGTAATATTTTCTGTGGACAAGAACGATGCTCTTTGACAGGAAAAATGTATTTCCCTTATTATTAGCCAAGAATAATTTGCATTGCTATCAGATTTCTACAAGTTAGCATGAACCTTTTCAGAGTTTTAAAATAGCCTAATCAAAAGTAAATAGTAAGAAAAAACAGGCTAGATACCCTTAGATAATTAGATAAACCTTTAATATGAAAACTAATTTCATATTCAGCTCAATCCAAACTGGCCATGAAGAGGAAAAAATACCCCAAATAAAATAATTCCTTTTTGATATTCAAGTTATATTATCAATGTACACTTGATCTAAGTTGGGTATTTCTGAGCCTATGTTACTATTCATCTCAGTAGAGCACAGCTTCTCTACGTGAGAGCTTAGATTCTGAAAAAGTATGTTAAGTATCTAGAAAACATACAATAAATTAGCATTTTTTTCTGTCATCTATCCCCAGTTCCCCACTGTTCCAAAGTCTTGTGTAACTCCAAATTTTACAAACAGAATTAATTTGTTGAATTGTAAGAAGTTCCCTGTTTATGATTTAAAAACTCAATATTTAAATCCACACTGAACAGTCTCCAGTTCAATGAATATCACTAATTATGTTCATAAATATTTAAATAAATTTTTGGTTGTTAAACTCTTTTGGACAAGATACTCAATTCCACCAAATCAAGAGTGGAACATATTTAGATTACCTTTTGTTTTTTTTTTTTTGGTAAGGAAGATTGGCCCTGAGCTAACATCTGTTGCGGATCTTCCTCTTTTTGCTTGAGAGAGATTGTCCCTGAGCTAATGTCCATGCCAATCTTCCTCTGTTTTGCATGTGGGAGACGCCACAGCGTGGCTTGATGAACAGTGCTAGGTCTGTGCCCAGGATCCGAACCAGCAAACACAGGTCGCCAAAGCAGAGCGCACGAACTTACCAACTATGCCTCCAGGCCAGCCCCTAGATTACTTTTAAATCAAACTTTTAAAATGTAAAATTTTAGAAGAGTTTTCTTTCTTTGAAAATAAACGAGATAAATTTTAGATTTAGACATGAGTTTTTAAAAATTTTCGTAAACATTTTTAATTTTCTAGGAAAGGCAACACAAGTAAATTTTTGCTCGAACTCTGAAAAAAACAGTATGACTTCCTGATCAAATGCAGAGAATATTTTTGCTGCGCTTCCTTTTGAGTCTTTGACACTATTCAGTGGAATTCCTTTCAGCTGACAGTCTGTATTTCCCTCCCTCCTCCTGTTGGATCCACCTAGTGCCGATGTTCTCAATCTTGGCTGCGTGTAGAATCACCTAGAGAGCTTTTTACAAAAATATGTGCGCTTGGGACACACCCCACACAGATCAGAATTGCTGAGGTAGGACCCAAGTATCCGTATTTTTCAAAACTTCTCCAGGTGATTCAAATGTACAGCCAATGTTTATAAATAGTGATACAGCAGATTTTCCAGCTGCTAGATAGCCTATTTCCCTTAAAGTTTGCAAAGACTTTAAAAAAAATTGCTATTACTTTTTAAAATAAAAGGCTTAAAAATATACTCATAAAATTCTTATTTTACTTTAAAAAAACATGTTTTCTTCTGCAAATACTTGGGAAATATAGCAAAAACATATGTTTTTTTGTTTTTTAGTTTTTTGAGGAAGATTAGCCTTGAACTAACTGCTGCCAATCCTCCTCTTTTTTCTTGCTGAGGAAGACTGCCCTGAGCTAACATCCACGCCCATCTCCCTCTGCTTTGTATGTGGGCCACCTACCGCAGCATGGCGTGCCAAGCAGGGCCGTGTCCGCACCCAGGATCCAAACCAGCGAATCCCAGGCCGCTGAAGCGGAACATGTGAACTTAACCACTGTGCCACTGGCCGGTCCCAAAAATATCTTAATAGAAGGTAAGGGCATGTCCCAATGATCAGAAAGTATACTTTCAATCTGGGTGTACAATAAACCAAACTCTCATATTTGTTCACATGAATGGCTTTATACAGGTCAATATTACTTCAAAGCTGGAAGTAGTCTTTCTCATAGATGGATAATACATTCTTTTCTGGAGGAAACATTTTTTGTTTTTAATTGGACTTTACATTATGCAAAGATAAAGCCAATATCCTATTCTGGAATGAGAGTTTCAAGACAATAAAATCCTATTTTTTCAAGAAAAAAAATTGTAAAGAATTCTTTTTACTCTTGGGAGAGTTGCCAGAAAACCCACCACTACTGCCTTTTTAGGGGTATCTAAGATGGTTGTCTGGATTCCATGGTACGAAGATACAGGGAGGGAGGTGTGGTGGTCCTTGTAATGAGAGTTGGGTGGAATTGTCTAAGAGTAGCCTGGTCTAAGAACGCTCAGAGTTCTTATATGTTTAATCCAGCTTCAAGTGTGACGTGTGTGTGATGTCTTTTACTATGTTCTTTTTTCCTACGCAAACCTTTAGTAAAATCTTGTTAAATCATGTTGGCTGGTCTTAGCTATACTGTGGGGAGTTGGGGAATATTCTGGGCCCATGCATGGAATGGTGTACCAAAGTGGAGAACAGCAACTGCCTGAGGGAAGATGTTTCCAGACAGCAAGAGGAGATGCGGAGTAGAAAGGGGACAAAGTCTGCTGCAAGGAAAAAAGCATTGTGTAGCAGTGATAATACAATAATGTTGGAACCTGTAAGCATTCCCAAGTAATTCTAGAAATATCTAGGGAGGAGGAAGTGTTCCAAGACCAGACATCCAGTTATTGAACATGGATGCTATTTGTGGTACAGTGAAGAGAGACTCCTGAAAGCTGACAAAGAAGAGAAAATTGGGTTGTCATAGGGGAAAAAAACCCAACTTTAAAAAATAACTATTCATTCTATCAGTCAACCAGCATTCATTAATTATATTAATTGCATATATTTCTATATATTGCATATTTATTAATTATATATGTAAACTAGGCCATCTATCAAAAATTATTTTCTTTAATGAGGTATGGTATTAGAAACTATATAGCAAGACACTTTGCCAGGCACTACTCATACAAAGCTAGTAATCATTATCTGTAATGTCAAGTCTTCAATGGACCATCTTAAAAAGAAACCAAACAGGTTGTTCTATATGAAGTATGCATTTTTATGTTTCTATTTTACGGAATTTTTGCTTAATTATTGTTTTCATGTATAGTATTTCAATTCTATTTTTGGATGCAATTATGTAAAAGAGATTTGTGTAGGGGTCGATCCGTGGAGAATCCCTTTCAGCGGGACACAGCATAATGAGAGAAGGTGAAATAGGGAAAGCAGCAAGGCAGCTGAGGATCATCACAGATCAGCAGCGGAGGAAAACCCAGGACACGGAAGCCATCTGGCCAGAGGGAATTTAGTAAATCCTCACACGGAAGTCCAGCTCTTGTGAACCCTAGTTACAACTCACAACAGAAACGTTTGAAACTCTCTTCATCAAATGAGTGATTCAAGGTTCCAGGAGAGGAAATTCGGCAATAATGTCTTCACACATGCTGGGAATTTTCCCTTCTTGAATATCTTCAGCTAAAACTAAAAGTGAGCTGTAGTGCACTCATACTTATAGGATATTGTCAGTATACATGTAATGAGTACACTTTTGTCTGGATGAGGACATTTAGAAAAGTGAAATTATAGCCAAAGTGCTCATCACACAGCTGGCATTTTTGTTGTCATGCTAACCCTCTAATGCTTCAGACATTCATGTACATTTCTTTTGTTCTTGATGTTTACCCTTTCTCTTCCTCCCAGGCTCTTTTTTTCTTGTACTTCTCCCAAGCTGGCTCAATTTCAGAACTGACTTTCTCACTAACTTTTCCTGTAAAAAGTGGATAGTTGTGAAAGAAATGATAAAATTCAAACTTACTGAGTTATAGATTTCTAGCACCATCTTTTAGCTGCATCTGAAGATGTAATCCCGTTGGGTTTACGATTTGAAGTCCTAAGGCTTCTTGGGTTCCATGAAAAATTACATTCTTTCATTCAATAAATTTGCTTCTTGCAAATTGAGAAATTACAGGACTATTTAGGAAGTTATTCTTTCTCTCTAAAATTAGATCGCAGGTTACAGATTTATAACCCAAAGGATAAATGGCCCCAACATGGGTTGTACGCTGCACCCAGAATTATTTAAAAGGTTAAGTAAGCAAAGGTCACATCAAAATCTGGATGTCTAGTTCCTCTAAAAATATCAGAAGATGTGGTAACACAGGGCCAACATTCCCACATTATTACAATTGGCTGGAGCCCAGCACCAGCTGCCCCTTTTCTTTTTATCTTTGTTTTTTTTGTGAGGAAGATTGGCCCTGAGCTAACATCTGTTGCCAAGCCTCCTCTTTTTGCTTGAGGAAGATTGTCGCTGAGCTAATATCTGGGCCAGTCTTCCTCTATTTTGTGTGGGATGCCACCACAGCGTGGCCTGACTAGTGGTGCTAGGTCTGTGCCTGGGATCCAAACCAGCGAACCCAGGCTGCTGAAGCACAGCATGTGAACCCAACCACTACACCACTAGGCCAGCCACAGCTGCCCCTTTTCAATGCAAATGTGTTCCTCGCTTTACCACAGACTATGCCTGGTTTACTTGACTTGTGTAAGTTACCTGTCTGACCCCCGTAAGCATTTGAGTGTGCAGTCTCTGGTTCATAGGACATTGTCTATGGAAGTAAAGTTTGTCTTTTAGAGCTGTACGTGTGTATGGTTGTGGCTCAATCGTAATACTAGAATTTTTTTTAAATCTTGGAATCACACCGGTGAGGTATACCAAAAAGAGGATGTGACTTACAAGTACCCATGCCTGCAACTTGACTGTAACATGCAAAAATCAACCCCAGACTTTTTCTGCTGGAATTGAAATACCAATGGATACCACAAACTGTCCTACTAAGGCTTTCTTCTCTCCCAACAACTTATCCCCAACCCCAACTCCCACAGCACCCTCTTCATTATTCTAGACCAGCGATGTCCAATAGAATTATATATATAGCATTAGAGCAAGCCATATATGTTTTTAAAGAATCACATTAAAATAAGCAAAGAAAAAAAAAAACCCAGGTAAAATTAATTTTAATAATTTATTTTGTTTAATCCAGTGTATCCAAAATATTATCATTTCAATATTCTATCGATATATGAATTATTAATTATTTTATATTTGTGTGTATGCTAGGTCTGAAATTTGGTGGATATTTTTCACTTAAAGTACATCTCAGTTCAGACTAGCCACATTCGAAGGGCTCAGTAGCCACACATGGCTCGTAGCTACAGTACCAGATAATGCAGTTCTGCGTGAAATTGTTCAGACTTGGTGAAATAATCTGGTGTTAGGAAATTTGAATCAAGAGGCTGTTTTACGAATAAGTCCATATCAAAGGGGAAGAGAGTAATGCCAGGACGTGGGATATGTTCACCAGGAAATTTCCTATGAAGACTTTAATATCTCAGAATCTTTTACCTTGTAATATTTATAAAGCATACATCTTTAGGTTTATTCCTCACACACTAGCCTTAAGTTGTCTCACCCAGGAATAATGTACAGCTTTATGTTGTGGTGTTGTAAGAAGCAGAAGAGAAAACCAGAACAGAAAATTACAGCCATTCCCTTAACCACACTGCTGCTGTAGTTTGTGGAAGGGAGCAGCGATCTTTGGAAAAGGTTGTACTGGAAATTGGAGAATCACTTGGAGGAGCTTACAATCTAGGAGCAACTTCCAAATCAAGCCTAGGAAGTCAAGAGGAAA